GTTTTAAGTATGCCACAAACTCACCTTAAAGTTCTTCATTAACTTGTTAGTCACTTTACCACCAGTTGAAAAAGCTGTCCCCGCCCTTACCTAGTAAATAGTAGTTTTACCCCTTTAAGATATACTAGGATTCCTTGAATTAAGTTTTAGATCCCTATAAAATTATATAAGTTCCATTCTTTATTGAGATCCATAAGAACTAATATCTATACTTGAGACTTTCTTTTCTCAGTATCGTGCTTGGCAATCACAAGATGGCTGCCGCGCCGTATCAGCTGATAATTATCTCTGCTTGCTGGAGTTGCTTTCCCGAAACCACATTCCATGAAGACGCCTACATCAAACGAACAAATGTGGAACTGCACTAGACCCACCCTTAATCCAACCCTAAATGAAACCTATGCTCCCTATTGTTAAAACTTTATGAGCTGATAATTAGAACATATAGCCCCTCACCCATTTACTTGCATGTAACACATTTTCAATAAAAAGGCACGATGATTCCTAGCAGTTGTCACTCCTCAGAGAGCAATCTCTGGGGGTGTCTGGCTGAGGACATGCATAAAAAAGGCACCGAGGCCTTAGTCTTCCCTTCTTGCGCTGCCTCCAACAAGTCAACCCACCCCTGCCGAGGCTGGACCCCGGCACATATACACACATACATACATATATTTTAAAGTATGTGTGAAGGACAAGGTAGCAGCCTTGCTTGCTTCAGAAAGGCTTTCTTCCATACTTACAGTCCACTTTTTACCCACACAGACTGCGTGTAGAAGTGCAGGTCCTTGTTCAGAACAGAGTTCACAGCCTCTTCTAGATGTAACTCTCTTCCCTCACAATGTTCTAGGGCAAAAAGACTGATGGAGGGTTCTTCAAACACCTAATAGCACATGAGAAGGCAAAAGCATCACAATGAGGGGTGGCCACAGCCCAGTCTGACTGAACGCAGGTACTTTGGCTCGTGTATATCGTCACAGTTTACTTCTCTACCCTCTACAGATGTTATAGGCAAAACTGCATCGGTGAGATTAGATTCTATTAATAATTTTTATTCATTTTATTGTAAATGAAAATGGAAAATATCAGCAACCTGGGTCCCATGATAAAAGGGGGCACTGGTTCCAAATCACATATAAACCGTATATTAGTCCTGCCAATGCTTTGAGCTGACAACAGAATAAACAAGAAATACAATGACATGTTCATTTCCCAAGAAGTCACACGATCAGGTACTGGGAATACAAATTTTTACACTCTAGGCCATTAAAACATTCCTAGGAGGAAGAAAAAAAAATTTTTTAAACTAAAAAAATAGCTAGCATACCTCTTTTTTTGTATTTCTCTTTTTAATTGCTTATGCACAAAATATTCTTGCAACCTAATGCTAAATGTACTACTACTCACATTCAAAATCTTTAGCCTCACTTATTCCATTCATGCTGAATAAAAATCCAGACTAATTTCAACTCTACCAATAAACTGAAGAATCAATCCAAAAAGAACCAAAACAAATGTCTATTGGAGTTGACAGACATAAGTAAGCTTATGTTACATAAAACATTCCATTTCATCATCCTTCTTCAATTCCGAATACCAATATTATAGTCATTATTAAGAATGATTTTTTTTCTTGCTATAGGGTGCATGTGCTCACCAGAAAGACAGAGAGAGAGAGAGAGAGAGAGAAAGTGAGAAATCACCCCCACCCCCACCCCCAGAGGTATGTTACGCTGCGATCCCTTCTCCTCTATTCTCTTCTTAGGATCTTGGGAATGCATGGGCACAGCCCAGTGTGAGTTTAAGCCACTAGGTCCAGAACTTGAACCATGGTCGACTACATGGGAGTCCAGAGACATAGCCATTACACCAACTGCTGGTCCCTATTATGAATGATTCTTAAGATATTTAACGAAGTCTATTTTTTCTTTAGCTTAGGTGCTTATGCTTAATAACTGGTAGACTTGTGACTTAACAGTTTGTCAGGCATAACTATGCAAATAAAAATACTATACAAGTCGCACTTCTTAAAAAACAGAACCAATGGCTACATAATGCAGCCAAGCACCTAACACGTTGTGTGATCTCATAGACCTCTATTTATCCTACTGTTGGCTTACCTAGCAACCATTCTCTCCTTGTTCTTTGCTACCCATATCCCAACTTTGTTCAGCTATTGAGATGACAGATACTTTGAGGGCCTGTTCTTTCTAGTCTCAAGGGATATACATTGTGATTAATCAAGAAAATCTTAAGAAGTATAAGGGTAGGTTTTCTGGGACAGGCTTACTTGCTCATAGAAAGGGATGTGTGAAATGGAATATGTGAGAATGTGAGGTCTGGAGCTGCTGCAACCATTTTGTAAATATGAGAAGAGTAACCAAAATGGGAAGGATGGCAGAAAAAAAGAATGAACTTGAATCCTCATTGATAATATAAAGTCTCTTAATAGACCCTTGGTATAACACAGCTTTATATTTCTTAAATGTGATATTAAACTTTTCTATTAAAGAAAAATAGCTAGAATGCACAAAAACAAGGGTGATTTCTGCATTAAAAATAAGTAATCCTTTAACCGATAATGTCAGAAAGAACAGAATTAATCTCTTTCATTCATTAGTATATACAAGACACAAAGCTAAGAGACCTTTGGGGATGAGAAAATACGGCGCTATCTTTATGTTCAAGGCATTACTATTAAAACTAGTAGCTAAATTAGAATTGCACAGAAATTATTATGTAATCCCAGGTGACCCGTGAGAATACTCACTAGAAGGCTAGATTATGTTTAGCAAGAGAGAGCAAAAATCATGGAAGCCTCTTGGATGTGGATCATGTGAACTTGATTGCAAGGGATGCAATGGAATGGGAAGGCAGAATGAGAACAGAGGGAGGTCCTCTGTGCAGAGGAAGAGAGACAGAGATGCATAAGCCATGTCAGGGCAATGGCTTATCTAGAATACCTAAGAGGCCAACAGGAAACGGTGTCAAGGGCTCCCATTGTCTGTGACTATGTGTTGAGCTGCCTGTTTCCCCTCTCACACTGACAGGACATAACAGATTTATTACCAATGGGTAGCCCTTAAAGGCTTTTGAACTAAGGACTAAGACTGGGCTGAAGTCTCTGTAACTTGGCGAGTAAGAAGCAGAGCACTAGCAGCAGGGACTGTGGATAACCACAGAATAAACAAACAGTCCAAAAACAACTGGCTCTTACAGTGACCTGCAGGTGTATGTGCACAAAAGCGAAACGACTAATCAAAGAGTTATCCCTTGCAGCAGTGTTTGGGATAGCAAAGGAAGGGGAATGTTTTCAATGTCCATTAAGAAGGGATTGGTTAAATAAATTATAGTTCATTCACAGAGTAATCTTATACAGCTATAACAAAGAATGAGGAGCTCTTTATAGAAATATTGACAAAATGTATTCTTTAGAGACAAATATAAAATGAAGAATAGTGTAAACGGCATACTTCATTTTGTAGAAAAGGAAAATTTGTTCCAATATACACATACATACATGCTTGTATGCATATTAAAATTTTTCTTGGGGCCAGCCAGTGACATAGAGGTTAAGACAGTTGGGTGCCATGTGGCTGACTATGCAGTTCGAGTCTAAGACCTGGCAGCTTGAAAAACACACCAGATGTGTGTGCATGCCCAACATCCCTAGAGGAGATTGGAGGAGAAGGGATTGGGGATTGTGGCATGGTCATCCCCCCAGGGGTTGATTGCTCGCTTTCTCTCTCTCTCTCTCTCTCTCTCTCTCTCCAGTGAGTGCACATTCCCCACAGAAAATTAAAATAAATAAGTAAATAAAAACTTAAAAAAAAAAAAGTAACCATGACTAGCAGCTGGGAGGATAACATCTGACAAGATAAAAGGGTACATGCAAAAGCAAAGTTTTTCACTAAATGTCTTTTGGTTCTTTTTGATTTTTTAATTATGGGAATATTTATTTACTCAAAAATTTACATTGGAAACAATTATGCATATGTTTGCATTGTGTTTAGTGGCCTTCAGGAAATTAATCTGGTGACAACATGAGCGAGGAATAGAAAGAAGTAATAGTTCCAGAATACTGAAGACTATCTGAGGCCAAAGAAAAAGAGAAACACACTTAGAATGGAGAAGAGGAAGGTTAGGAATAACGGATGGCCAGGAAAACCATTATGGTGATAAAACATACATGTCAAGGCAAAATTGGAGTTAGTAAGTACAAAAGGCTGTGTGGCGGCGGGCATGGTGCTATAATCCGTCATGTGTGGGAAATCAGGCAGAAAAGCATGTCCAGTGCTAAGGACTGAGGTTTAGAACTGAATGTCTTTATGTCGAAATAGAGGCAGGATAAACCTAACAGACGCCCAACAGGCACTAGGCCTTTCGATCTGAAGTTCTGAGAAAAGCCAGGTGTCCAGACGATACATTTGGGAACCCTCAGAATCTGGATAATGACTGCAGCCTTGGGAGACGTGGAGTCGGAGAGGACAGACTGTGCTGGAACACACCAGGAGGTGGGGTGAGAGATGGCAGGGAGAGAGACTAAACAGATGAACAAGCAGAAGAGAGCCAAAGGAGCCCTGTACAGTATAGAAGCTAAAGAGGGAAAATCATAAGGAAGACTTTGCCCACAACATCACATTCTCCCCATGTTGAGGAAAAGGTGACTGAGCTGAGGCTGTGTGAGTTTAGAAATCAGTAGGTAGTTGGGAACCAGCAGTTAGCGTAATGGCTATGTCGCTGGACTCCCACGTAGTCGACCGCGGTTCGTGTCCCGGACCCGGTGGCTTAAAACTCACGCCGGGCGCGTGTGCATGCGTGCCCAAGATCCCGAGAGGAGAATGGAGGAGAAGGGATTGCGGCGTGACCATCCCCCCTGGGGGGTGATTTCTCGCTTTCTGTCTCTATGTCTCTCTCTCTGTCTGTCTGGCGAGCGCACGCGCCCTACAGTGAAAACCTCTCCAAAAAAAAAAAAAAGAAAAAGAAATCAGTAGGTAGCTGGGACCCTGCAGGAGAGCTGCTTCAGGGGTATGTCAGAAACAGTGGGGCAGAATCGGGGTGTAAGGGCTGAGGAGGAAGTGGTGAGGAACTACAGACAGGGGGTACAGATGGTTTTTAAGGGAAATTTCGTAAAGAGGACCAGAATGTGCTAGTAGCTTCTGAGCATGCTCATGGGCACAGTGGAGGGCGATGATGGACTACAAAGAAACTGAATGCACGCAAGAGAAGAGGGATGGTTCGAGGGGAGGAGAGAGAAGTCCAATCTACCATGAGTTCAGAACCTCTGGCTGGAAGCTGTCTAAAAAAAAGGAAAGAGTCACATAGGAAAGAACAAAGTGTACTTCCTCTCAAATGAAAGACACAAAAAGGATGCTGAGAAATTTCCATTTAAAATAGAGAAATGTGTAATTTTCTCTTTACATTAGGTTGCCTGCTGCTCAGGAAAGGTCTGAAGCACTGTCCCACCACACTTTTAGCAGTGACAGAAATGTTACGTATCTGTACCCTCCAACAAGGTAGCTACTTGTCACATATTGCCACTGAACAAGGACATGTGTCCTGTTTGCCTGCAGATTTTAATTTCACTTAATTTATAACCCATGTGGCTAGTGCTGTGGTACTGGACAGTGCAGATATAGGGGTCAGAGGATACTGGCAGAGGATGTAAAAATAAGAAATAGTTGGGGCTAGCAGGTGGCATTGTGGTTAAAGTGCTGAACTCCCACGTGGCCAACCACAGTTCAAGTCCTGGATCTGGCAGCTTGAAACTCATGCTGGGCACAAGTTCATGTGTGCTCTAGACTCTGAGAGTTGAATGGAGGAGAAGAGACTGCAGCATGGCCATCCCCCTTAAGAGGTGATTCTCACTTTCTGTCTCTCTGT